AGCGACAATTCATCATCTTCCTGTTTTGAGGCTTGCATTCATGACACTGAGTAAAATGTTCACCAATGAATTTACCCTACACAAACAAATTTCTCTTGTTCTTTTCTTTTAAATCTGTCCGGCCTTTGAAAGCTTCTGAGACAAAGTTAGGTGTCATACGAAATGGCACTCTATTTTAAATTGGCTGCCTGGTGATTGCATTAGGGAAACAATGAAGAGTCATTTCACGTGGCTTTGCTCCACTTGGTCTTAAAGTCTCAGATGTTCCTGGTGTGGAACTGAAATTTACTGCTTTCCACAGGTCTGCACTGGAATTCTTCTGAAAATGGTTCATTTGGCACCACTATCTCTGTACCATGGCTGTTTTCAGAATGTTATTATGTATTACACCTCTTAGTCCCATAGTGTTGTGCTGGAATATGCCCACCCTTGCTGGGTTGTATCCTTCCTACAGTGGCTTCTTCACAGTGCCTGCCATGGATGCTAGCAGCAAGAAATCCTGCACCAGCCCAGAACTGGACGATGCTGGGAAAGAGGAGCTGCAGACCTCCACCTAAGAGCAGGGTTTGCTATAAGATCAAGAGCTCCCATCTAGTGGATATGCAAGAAAAAGCTTCCAATCTAGGCAGGCATTTAAAAGAAAAAAAAAAAAGAAGTCTATTATAATGTAAGTCGTAGCATTCTATGCGTATATAATATATGAAAGTAGGATAATATATGCATATGTCAATGAAAGAAGCACTAAAAATGCAGGTTACATTGTTTCATTTTTAATTACATCTCTAAACGTAGCACCATATCCTTAAAGCCTCTGGAAAAATATGAAGAAAATCATAAGTTGTTTAGCTGTAATTGGCATTGATGATTTCCTGAGCTTCCTGACTCAAAAGCCTGTTAGCAGCTCACAGCAGCTGGATTATGAATTAAAAGGATATGAGCTTGATAAATCAATGCCTTTTAGGCTCCTCGGAATAAACTGGGATTTTAAGCCGAGAATAAATGGCTGAAGGAAACTGTTGACAGCCTTTCCACTTCTTAAACTACAGTGAAAACAAAAAGTAAAAACTGAATCTTGTTCTCTCCTGTTGCATTCAATATGATTTATTTCCTGAATGATTAAATATTCAAAAGGTAACGCGATATAAAAATCCTCAGCCTTCCAAGTAAACCTCCAGTTAGTCACTAGGTCAGATCAGAAGTGGTCGAAGATTTTATCACTTGATGTGTGCTTTGTTCCAACACTGGAGCCAGGTTATAAACTTTCACAGAAAACCACCCTAAATTCCAGTATTTTCTGTCAATAAATGCAATTAAATTAAAAACTGAGCGGTGACAGAGAGGAACCATCTCTGATCTTTCCAGGTCTTCTGGTGAGCACTGGGAGACCTACTGTGTGACAACAGGAGGCCCGCTCTGTGCTGCTTGTGCTTCATGTTGCAGAAGGAAGAAGTCGGTCTCAAGCCTGTTAGGGCAGTGTTTTGTAACTACCGAAACAGCCAAGCCTCTTTAATTGTTGCTGTCATGGATATGCAGAGGATGTGCTGCCACTTCAGGATTTGCTTAAAACATTTACCTAAAAAGAGATGGCAAAGAACTGTGCAGCCATATAGAAACAGCAGGCCTCAATACTAAAGGAAATGATTCTCCATGCCCAGCGGTCCTTCCCCAGTTGCCTTCTATTTCCGATATTCGCCTCTTTGTCCACCAACCCTCTGCGGTGTCGCTTTTTGCCATGATGCCGTGCTGCTCCTTCATGGATCCCTTGCATTAGCAAAACCGGCCCATTTTTGTGATTTTCTTAAAGGTGTGCCTTTGTTGCACTGAGGGGCAGAAAGTTCTGGAGGTCATGAGAGGTGGAAAAAAAACCCCACAACAAATGAAGAGATTTGATACACTTAGTTATACACATTTCACATCGCTGCACTCAGCAATACCGGCTTAAAATTGATTTAGTTCAACTAACTTCAGTAAGACTGTTGCTATGTTTGTCTGGGAAGCAGAACATGCTTTGGGATCAATTTTCATTTAAAAAAAAAATTTGATAAAAAGTACTCAGAAATAAAAATAATAAGGAATGCTCTAAAACCACCAATGTATCTTTTCTTCCAGCAATTTCTGTGGCAGAAAGCTTAGCAAGTGCAAACGGTACCTTTCAAGATAGCAGACTCTTCAGGCCTGGGGATGCCTTATTAGGAAGATCCTTCTAAGCAGGCAGTGTGGCTATTTGATCAAATGGCACTGGAAAGAAAATGGACCAACTGATTGAAATTCCTTCTAGGCAGCTTTCTATAATTAGATTTACAATCATATTATCTCTATGTTTTCTACGGAGACCTCTGTCTAAACTTCAAAGGATGTCTGTTTCCTTTTAAACAGTTCCACTATCTACATATCAAACCTGTCAGAGTGCAGAAATACTACATGCCCTCTTCCTGTTACAGGCCACAGCAAAATTTACTTTGACAAAAAAAGGCATATGCCTCTGCTAAGACATTACAAGTGCAGTAGTAGTCCGCTCCAGGAATATATGCTGGGACTTGCTAGCATTCCCATGAAACAACTTAAAAAACATAATGGACTTCAGTGTTACCGCTACCGAAAATAACCTATGAGGAAAAGAAAAGCAACTGTCTGATGCAGTGCTGTAAAATATGCAAGAAAAAGGCCTCTTTCACATTTTCAAATTTAGCCAGAGAAATAAACAGCACAAACTTGGCAGGACTGCCTTCATTCCTCATCCATCAGACTTGTGACAGTTTCAAAAAGACATTCATGAGGAAACTAACACAGTGTCTCCTTGACACTAAGTGGAATTTGATAAAGCTTCAGAGTGGACAGCATATTGTTTGCAATTGTAAGTAAGTATTTTTCTAACTAGAATTTATGCCAAATACTTAGAACTCTTGTAAAATAACCCACCAGAGAACTAGCCTTTATCAGGTTCATAAGTTAAAAAGGTATGTAGTAAGGTACCAATTAAATAAAGCAGTAAAGCAATACGTACTCTGATAAATAACATTCTTCTGAACCTGGTCCCTTTTTGCTATGCTTTACTACATCTTCGTTAAAAAAAAAACAAAAGTGAATCAAAACTTGACATTAATTTAGATGAGTGGCATTTCTCTATGGAGGGAAAGCGTTGTTATAACTGAGAGAAATAACACTTTGTTGGGAGCAGCTGTCACTGCTAGAAATGGGTATTAGCATGTTAATCAGCCTTCTTCTGTCACAGCTTTCCAAATGATATATGAGCTGCGTCTCTGAATGCACAATGCAGTCCAGTCCTACGTGAGAGAAAGGGGAAGACATGGAAACAAGGTAGAATCTGCTGCAGGAAGCGCCTGTGTGGAGGAGGAATAGAGAAGTCTTGTCCCCTCCAACTATTCCAACTTACTTAACACAACTGCACGTTGCATAAATAATTAAAATTAACTAACTTTTAGATGACTGACTGAGGGGTTGGTTTGGTGAGGATTCTTCTGCTTCCACTACAGGCAAAGCAGTGTTTCAGAGAACGCAGTCTGGGTTCAATAAATGGCTTTGTTTTAGTCATGAGATGCTTTCACGGGTGCAATCTCTGTTTGGAAGAGCTGAGGCTATGAGGTACACCGCTGAATACTGCATTCCCTGTAAATGTTGCCTTATTATTGGGAAAAAAAAAAAAAAACAAAAAAAACACAACAACAAAAAGCACATGAAAACATTCAGCTCAAACTTTATCACATTTGATAATCTGTGGCAAAATCTGAGACAAATACAGGTTAGAAACAGTTGTTCTCAGTAAAAAATATACCAAACAATTGTCAGAGAGAAATAAACAGCAAACACCTGTGAGGAAGAGGAAAATGAGAGTTGTACTACCCAATTAGCACCTGTGGATCTTAATTTCTTTTAAATGGGGGTGGAGGTCAGCAAGAAAATCTAGTGAATCTTTAGTTCCTATGCCTGACTTTGATGTTTAACAAGAAATAACAAAGCAAACCTCGTTTTGGATATTTTATTTCTGTCACGTCATAAAGAGAAATACCTGACAGCAAAGTTGTGTGTTTCCTTGAAAGCTGCTGACGGTACAATGAGTTAAAATTTCTTTTGTAGCTGTTCAAGAGCCAGCAGTGATCTGCCCATAGGATGTCACATAGGTGAAACACAGGGAAAACGTGTGAGAGGTTTTTCATTAGAAGCTGTTGTCTGTGTTCTGTCAGCACTCTCCACAAGCAGTAGCAACTGAGCACATGGGGTTTTCTATTAGAAAGTGAGCAGGCTCCAAGGCAACAAGGACACCGAGCTGCAGCCAAACCCAAAACTTTATTTACTGTAAGGCACTCCCAACTCATTCCTATTAGAGATTTCACAGCTGAGTTAGACACAGTAACAAACAACAATAAACCATCAGATAACCTGAAAGGAAAAGAGGTGGCACTTAATCTTGAAGGTAATGGCAATTCTGGCCATTCACACTATTACCTGGAGACATCATTTGTAAAACAATCAGTGTGTCAAGCCATTATTGATTAAAAAAGACAGTAAAGCTTCCTCTTTGAAAATAAAAACCAAGCAAGCTGAAATAGCGAGTATCTGACACACTGTGCTGAAATACAGATTTCTGGTGGCACATACATGTCTAAAAGCTCAGGAGCATATTTGTAGTTTTTCGGGATTCTCTAGCTGATGAAGAACACTTCTGCCTTTACAGCTTAAGGAAGATGTACATGAGGAGAAGTCCTCGATGAGTGCATTTTGTCTGTGAGCATCTTCCATTTGTTCAGACCACAAGGCACTTGGATGGCAACTCAGGAGCTGGGGTGGTAGCGTGTGGAAGGCAGGGGGAACCTCTGACGCCAGCAGCCGCCCCGCTGCCTCAGGCCGGGCTGCAGAAACAGCTGCACGGGCAGCCGCGCGCTGACAGCCCTCCCTCAGCCAACGCCCGCCCGTTTTAAAAGCGCTCGCCCTCCGTGCCCCGCTGTGAGCCTGGCGCTGATTGGCTCCTGCCTCCCGGCAGTTACACCTGCCGCCCAGCTCCGCTAGGCCGCAGGCTCGGGCTGGCGGCGTCGTGCTGCGCCGAGCGGCGGGGTGAGGGAAAAAGAAGAAAAAAAGAAGTAATTATAGCGTAGAGTCTTGTGAAAACCTCTTGCCGATTTCTGAAGGCTGATTGTAGCCTGAGGCGCGGGAGGGTCTCAGAAGGAGATGTAGGGCTTCTAAGTACCGCGGGGCTGGGTGCTGGCTTCAGCGGGAGGCCGGAAGGCGGGGGACAAGGTTGTGTGCGGTGTGCGGCGTTGTTGTGGCGATGCTTGGGGCAGGCAGCGCTGGGAAGCCACGTAGGCAGGTGTGAAGTAGGCTGTGTAGAGAGCGGTGTGTATTTGTGCGATGGGGCCAGAAGGAAAGGCTCAGTGAGGGGCAGAAAGAGCAGCAAGCTGAGGAGGAGCAAGCGGCTGTGCTTCAGGCTGAAGAAAGTGGATGGGATTGTAACTGCCAGGGCGGCAGGGAGTTCCTCAGGATTTTGCTTAGTGGAGCAAAATTCAACTTCAACTTATTGTTGATAAAGCAAGTTTAAAATATAAGGGATGTTATTAAAAAAAAAAAAAAATTATGGATTATGTCTGTGTAGGTGTCTCATGTTTTGTTTTGTTTTTTTATTTTTTTTTTTATTATTTCATTTCTTTTGGAGAATAAAGAGCATACGCTTGGATGTGCTGCTTGGGCAAGGGATTGAAGTGTTGAAGATTGCCTGTCTAACTCTTGCAGACCTCAAGGCAGAAAATTTGGGAATAGAAAACAGGGCAAGGAGAGAAAGAAAGGCCTTGAAAAGGAATCTGACTTTAGAGTTATTTTTTTTTAATTGACTAGAGAAGTTTGTAAATTACTGTATAGGCTTCTCGGTCTGATTTGTTCCCTGTGACCTAGATGACAGAAACCAAAGGAGATCTTCACATGCCATCAAATAGTGGACATAGTAGTAACAGCTGTATTGGTAAAGCTCCTTAGCTTTCACAGAATCACAGAATCGTAGGGGTTGGAAGGGGCCTCCAGAGATCATCGAGTCCAACATCATGAAAGTGGATAAAAGCATGAAAATGAGGAACTCAGAAGTGGAATAATCCCAGTCCCTTAGTTTTGACAGACAGTTCCACCAAGTTTTATTAAATACTGATTTCATGTAAATTATTTTTGTCACTAAGTTCTTTGAATTCTTTAAATTAATTAACATAATGCATTTCGGAAGTTTTCTTTGGGCTTATATCCAGTTTTAAAATCGCTGGTGCTTCTGTAAAATATAGTGATAAGGGAGTGGATTTTGTCACTGCAGATGGCATTTAGGTCTCTGTACAACTGAGACAAGCTTTATGAAGTAATCCATTACTGTACTTGAAGAGACAGCATATTTATAAAATAGCTGTGATGTGACTTGTATAAAATTAAAACTTTACTATGGAATATATAGTTGCTCGTTAAAGTTCACTACTATGTTTTGAAATCAAGTACATAGATGATACCAGTTGCACATAGTATTGCAGCTTTACGCTGCTCATTGAAGTCACAGGAAATAGCCAACTATGGTGTGTGTTTCTGTGCCCCTGTGGCTTCTATATGTGAATAGCAGCTTTTAAGTATCTGAGTTGAAATATCTATAATGTTCTATTGAAGCTATTGCAGACATGAATGAGGAGAATTCAGCTGCAACAAGTGAATCTGGCAAAATGAGAGGTGGTAATCAGGCTGCTGCTTTACTGGCCCTACTAGACAAGACTGGGTACACCATGATTCAAGAAAATGGGCAAAGAAAATTTGGTGGGCCTCCACCAGGTAAGTGTTTTTTTGAGGTAATAAAATTGAAGTATATGTAAGGATAGCTATGCTGTATTTCTGTGTATGTCAGGAATGTGCTTTCTGGTCCACTACTTCTCTGTTGAACCTGATGGCTTTTTTATTTTTGATCTTGAGAACTCTGGAAGGTGGGTTTATCTACTTCTACCCTTAACTTATTAAAATAGTTACAATCTTTCATGCTGAATTTGGGCTTTATTTGTAGTTTAGGATGGCATTATTGAACATGTCTATCAGTGCGTATGGCAGAGATGTAAATTAAGGACTATACACATATGTTCAGGCATTTCCTTGAGGACCAGAAGGGCCAGAAGCACGGATCTGTTCTGTGGAACTTTGTATTATTACTTTTTTTCCTGGAGAATATGGCTCCAACCTGTGAAAACTGATCTCTTTTTAAGAGGAAAAATGCTCATGGTTTTTGGCCACTGAAAAAAAAAGATTGTCCCATATTGTACCTTCGTAGGGTGTCTTTTTATAGTGGATGAACGGAGGAGGTGGAACCAAAATGTTCAGACCTTTTGAATGGCATTGGGGGAAAAAGAATACAGGCACTGGGGGCTCTGACTAAAGCTTCCTAAAAAATGGGCAAGAAGTGCAGGTAAATGTTTGTAACTCCAAATGTTACAAGTAGGAAATACAAGTTCTCTCTCTAGCAATTATATTTGATGTATTAATATGTATCAGGCAATTTTGAGAAGTAAAAAATGATTTAAATGCAGACTCTTGCAACTGACTTGTTGCTATTTAAAACACTGTTTTAAGTAATGCTGGTTTGAGTGGCTTGTCATACAAGTTCAAGGGAAAGAAGCAGATGAATGTTAAAGATTCTGTTAGCACAATTAGTATTTAAGCTTTCAAAATCTAAAAAGATACAAATACAGCAGTTAAAAACCAACAACTGATAGCCAAAGTGTGTTGTGTGATGGTGTGACTGTGATGCTTGTCCTAAGATTTTTTTGCTGAACTTTTTAAGGTTGGAAAGGTCCTCCACCACCTCGTGGATGTGAAGTTTTTGTGGGTAAGATCCCTCGTAACATTTATGAAGATGAATTGGTCCCTCTTTTTGAGAGAGCTGGAAAGATCTATGAGCTCAGGCTGATGATGGAATTCAGTGGTGAGAATCGAGGCTTTGCTTTTGTGATGTACACTACTAAAGAGGATGCCCAGCTAGCCATCAAGATTCTTAATAATTATGAAATTCGTCCAGGGAGATTTATTGGTGTCTGCATAAGCTTGGACAACTGCAGACTATTTATCGGAGCAATTCCAAGAGAAAAGAAGAAAGAAGAAATACTAAAAGAAATGAAAAGAATTACAGAAGGAGTGGTGGATGTCATTGTTTGTCCAGATGCCACAGACAGAACTAAAAATCGTGGATTTGCTTTTGTAGAATACGAGTCCCACAGAGCAGCTGCAATGGCTAGAAGGAGGCTACTCCCAGGTAAATCTGTGTTCAAGAAAACTTTTGGAGGACGGTGTTTTTGGGGAGTGGAGGTGAAGGGATGTGAGCCCCTTTTTAGAAAACCATTTTAAGCGTATTGTTTTGGAAGGGGCTTATTTGTGGAATGGAAAGTAGAAGGGATTGAAAGTATTGAAAGAGGAGGGAATAGGTAAAGGTGAAGTTAAAAAGGAAACTGGGCAGTGTGACTCCTGTCCACACAAGGGGTTGTAAGGTTGCATTTTGCCACTTACTTCGTTCATTGTTTCGGGTAGTAGACTGACACATTTTGCTTAAGTACACGCAGACAACAAACGCTGCTGTTCCACATGTTACACATCATATTTGTTTGCTTTTTCTAAAGCTAGTGTATAAGAATGATTGTTATTTTCATCTTTGTTTACTAATGTTATCCTTCTTTGCTGTAGGAACGTTCCAGCTCTGGGGTCGTGCAGTTCAAGTCGATTGGGCATGCCCAGAGAAAGAAGTTGATGCAGAAACAATGCGGAGAGTTAAAGTATTGTATGTAAGAAACTTAATGATTTCTACTACGGAGGACACAATTAAAGCTGAATTCAACAAGTTCAAGCCACGAGTAGTTGAACGTGTAAAGAAGTTGAGAGACTATGCTTTTGTGCATTTCTACAACCGAGAGGATGCAGTTGCTGCCATGTCTGTGATGAATGGAAAGTGCATTGATGGAGCTAGCATTGAAGTAACTCTGGCGAAGCCAGTTAACAAAGAAAGTACTTGGAAGCAACATCTTAATGGTCATGTAAGCCCCTGTTCTGAGAATCTCATGGAAATTCCTAGCAGAGAAGACAGTCACCAAAAATCCGTAGAGAAACCTGCAAGTCTTTCTCTCAGCCTTAATGGTCAGCACAGTCCGAGTTCTCCTGAACTTGAATGGTATCCATACCCATTTCTTCCAGGAGTAAAGCTTATTCCAATTAGCATGTATTCTCTAAAATCCAGTTACTTCAGTTCTGCTGTGATGCGTCTGGATTACTTTTGCTACAAAAATAACTGGTTACCACCAGAATACTACTTGTACTCAACCACAAGTCAGGATGGGAAAATCCATTTGGTGTGCAAGGTGCTCCTTCCGAGTATTGCAGATGGTTCGCAGAGTTGCTTCATGTCACACAAACTCTGTACCACACTAGAAGATGCGAGGGAATTGGCAGCGCAGATGGCACTTCTACATCTAGGTAAGCATAAGTGCTTTTGAGTAGTTCCTAAGGACCAAAGCTAGGAGAGTTTATTTAACATTGTTCTCTGCATCTATTTTTGGATATCTTCGCTCACGTTTATTATCTTAAAGTCAATGTGCCTACTATGAGAAGACATTTTTGATATGATAAGCTCCTGTGATAAAAGCTTTTCATAACTGAGAAAGCGGTCACTAAATTGCTGACAGTACGTTACTGCTGCTGCTCCATAGAAATGAATAAGGTAAGATGTTCCATTTGACATCTAGTTCCTGCCCGGTATTTTTCAGTTCTTCTGTAATACTGAAGCATCCAAAACACAGAACTGATTTCTAGGTATTAGTGGTTGTAGTCTTCATTTGATCAAGCTTCATTCTAGAAGAAATCAGAATTTAAGATCTTAGGTAAACAGATCTGATGGTTGTTGAAGAGCCCTACCTGCTATATTCCTCTCCTCTCCCCTGCTTGTGCTCTCAATTTTTTCCCCTCTTCTCTCCTGCATAGTGGGTTGGAAAAGCTACTGCTGGATAGCAAACTGTTAAAATAGTGTTGATACTCGTTTCTTCCTAATACTATCACTAAGCAATTATTCTGGAATTTTCTTTGTGCTGCAGTGAATTTTTTTTTATGGTGCCTTTTTTTTTTGTTTGTTTGTTTTAAATGCAGTTTGTAGCAGACTTAATTTAGACTTGACTGTGAAATGAAAGCAATCCTTTTCTTAGTGTGTAGAATCCTGTTTCTCACTGTCTTTGATTTTGCATGCCCAAAAGGTCTTAGAAGAGAAGGAATCTCTGAAACCCAAAGCCTAATGCACTGTCTTCACTTCAGCAGCAGTCTGTTCAGTTTGCATGAATTGGTCACCTCCAAGAGGCTGATGGTCAACGTGAAGAGAATTATATATTTTTAATAACAAAACATTAAAATTTTATTTATAAGTTTTTATAAAAGCTGCACCAGGTTTTGTGAACATTAGTGCCTGTTTCTTTTTAGAGTTGTACCTTTTATAACCTGTGTAACCCCAAATGCAAGAAGATTTTTAAACTGGAATTAGGGATGAGAGCTTAGCTTGTTCTTTAAACGAGAGCAGTGGCAGCTTCACATTCTGTGCTTGGCCATGCATATCTACCCATCTCGTGGCTTACAGCTACTCTTACAAACTGATTTTTCTCTCCTGTACTCTGGGAAAGAATCACAGGAACAACTACAGGGGGCTGTTGGTCTGAGAATGACTATTCACAGCTGTGGGCAAATCTAGAATGAAAACAAGCTTAAAAAAATTAGAAGTATGTATTGAACTCTTCTTCCTCTGCTGTAAGGTAAAACAGCAGGTTTTTTTTTAATCAGCACCATTACAAGATACCTAAAATCTGGATAGTCTCCCACTAATTACATGAGTGATCTCCTGTACCTAGTGCAAAGCACTGTTTTTAAAAAGGGATTTGTGCTTTGAAGTAACTGTACTTGCTTGTTGCCATATACAGTAGTCCTGAACAGACAGCAATACAACAACCTTCCACTTGGTGTCACCTGGATATTTTGAAAATGACCCGAGTAAAACACAGACTTTGAGTTTCACTGAAAGATGAACAGAGGAAGAAAGTTTAAAAACAAAAAATCGGGTTTGTTGAAATATGAGGAAATGATGAGTGTAGGTGTGCAGTTGACAGAAGGGAAGAAGTGGAGCGTGGCCATGTGCTGAAGCTCCAGAAGGGGACACCTCACTGTTCCACGGCGCAGAGAGGAGAAGGGAACAGAACAGAAAGAAAATTGAGTGCTGGAGAGGAAATGATGAGATTGTTTTCTGTTGTTCTTGAATCTCACTTCAAATTGGTCTCTCGACGCTGCCTGACGCCTTGGTGCTGTTCACAAGCTTTTACCAGAAATTTCCCTCAGAAACAGAGCAGTAATGTTTTCTTGTGAAATCATGCTTCTGTTGGGTTCATGCAATTGCAGGGGTATTATTTTATGGGTATATAGATAGTACATTATTTTAAAATAGACCCACCTGATGGTGTCAATTGTCGTGATGTATACAGGCAAAAAAGGAATTATGTTTTATATACCTAGAATCACCCAGTGTTCCAGCTTCCAGGCTCAGATTTATATTAAGAACTGGAGTTTGATTGCAGTGCTATTTGGACTACTTCCCGGGGCAGCCAGTTCCACGTGAAAGAAATACTGCGTTCCTTCCCTGATTTGCAGAAATTTAAGTAATGAATTTCAGTAAGTGTGGATATCTGTCACTGCTGAGGCCTCTTTCATTTTTAAAATGGGGATTACTGTTTTAGTGTCATGGGACTGGACTTAAAAGCTTATAAGGGAGTGCTAAATCAGTGCTTAATGTTAACTTTGCTGCTGGAAGCTTCTAATCTTACTCACCCAGGATTTGTCCTGAAGATCAGATCATTTTTCTGGTCCTGCTGCTTGCAGTCAGGGAATGCAAACTTTTAAATCTGAGCCTGTGGTAGGTAGGAGAACTTGAAGAAAAGGAAAGACGGAACGAGGTTGGACCATGTGTGTATGTAAGATAAGCTGAGTGAATTGAGTCGGTCACTTCAAACTAGAAGTGGGTTTAGTGCCCTTTTCTGGTCAGTTGATTGTGTTGAAGACAGTTTACGAAGCACGTCTGGCAGAACTTGGTTCTTAGTAGCAGATGTACACCTCAGTCAAAAGGCTTAATATGAAAGGCTGCTGCTCTGACTGTTAGATGTAACAAATTAAACTGTATTAAAACAGGGGTCTAATACACATATTAAAATAGTCTTCATTAATACGTTGCTTTCAGGGAAGGTGAAGCAAAGGGTCACTATTTTAAAGCTTGTTTGTTAAAAATAGAGTCTGAGAAAGTCTTCAGGACCGAAGAACTTTATTTCAGGAGTAAGCTTGCTAGAAACTTATGTAATGAAAGGGAAAAAGAAACTGAGATTAAGTTCTTAATTTATAATTCTGTTTTCTGTGAGGTCCTATCTGATGTTGCTTAAACTGTTGACTGAAAACCTTACTTAAGGATTGCAATTGATCTTGGGGGGCAGAGGAAAGAATGCAGCGGTGGGATGAGGCATCAAATGCTTTGTTACATCCTTATCTTAAGTCCATCTTTGAATAGGTAATGCAGTATGCTTGCTGAAATTGTCTCTTTTTCTTCTCCTCCCCCCCTCTTTTTTCCTCTTCTGCAGACAGCTGTACACCTAACTCAGCTTGAATTGCCTTGAAGTTGAGCAGTTGAAAAATTTGGTAGTTGTTACTTTTAATCTTGCCACGAAAGGAAGACCACACTGCTGCGTGATTACTGGAAATTCAGATCTCATGTTACCTGCTGAAGGATTTTTCAAAAGGACGTGTTTTAAACTTTGGAAGATGAGTGCAATTCAATGTTAAAAAATTGTTTTACTTAGATTAAATTTGTTTTAAAGGTAATTGCTTAAAAGATTTCATTACCTGTAGTAGTTTCTACAACAGTAGCCTCTTTTTAGTGTTGAAATAGTTTAGTATGACTCCTGCCCCCTTGTATTATGAATTTCAGTCAGAGTATTTTTTAAGATTGTGTTGCAAGTAATCTTAAGTACACATTTAAAAGCCAATGCTGCCAGTGCTGCCTTTTCAAGCAAAACCAACTCCTGATATTTCTGTTAGTGGCTGTATATGAAATACCACGCAAAGATTTGCTTCTGTAACAGCACACATTTTATAGGAAGAACATTTCCTACAAACGTTTCCTTCTAAAGAGATGTCATTAATTTTGTTTCTTTTACTTTGTTTTCAAAGTGGATCTGTCTCCTTTAAAACTGGGTATATGCTTTCAGCTCCTGATCAAGACTAAGGATATAATGACACGACCTGTACAAGTAATGTTGTAAGCTTTTTTTTTAACTTGAAAAGCTGGTTGGAGGAAAAAAGTAGATAGAAAACAATGCAATTGAGTGCTTTAAGTTGAATAACTTTTCTTAATGCAGTCAAACATTACAGTTGGATGTTTCATCAATATATTGCCTTTTTTGATCTACCTAAATGTTATTTATATTTAATGATAGCTACATAGTTGTTACAAGCATTGTGAATTTTAATGTTTAATACTGTGTTTTACTTCTTCATTTGAATTTGGACATTAAATTCATGCTGTTAGCATTTGGTGTGTGTACTTGAATACTAGAATTTTACTTGTAGTACATTTGCAAACTGACTCTGTAGCATTCACTTTGCTTTTTGTAGTTGAAACTTTGGCCAGAGGCTCCAGTTTGAAGTGCTTTGCTGAACATGAAGTTGAATTCGGTGGCTTACTGTTTCCTATGAAGCTCATGTGGGAGGAAGAAAGAGGAGGCTTGCTTTATCTCATATTTAAATCCCCTGAGACCAAGACAAAAAAAAAAAAAAAAAAACCAACAGTGTTTGGGTAAAATAACTCAGCATTATGCTGATAGGAACGGGAGAACTAATTTCCAAGTCCTTGTGCCGTTCAGCCTGAGTATTGCAGTTTGCAGACTGCTGCAGTGAGCTTTCTTTTGGTCTGCTCTGAGTTCCATGTTTTTATTGCAAGGTTTTCAAATAGGCATCTTTAAAGACACCTCGAAAATACAAGTGCAAGAAGATCTTGATAAAACAGTGTTCTCTCCTCCTTATAGAAGTTTGGGTGTACATGGCGCTATTGGCTAATTAAGGGAGCTCTGTCCCAAATAAAGTGAAGCTGCATATTCATTTGGGTATTGTCTGTGGCTGGTGGGGGTGAAGGGCTAGCCAGTACTGCAGGAAGCCTCGGGCTGTTTGGATTGTAACTTGCCCCATATTTTGAAGGATTATGGTGCCAAAAAAAAAAAAAAAAAAAACCATCAAGTTTGCTGCAAGCCAGCAATTCCCATCTTTACTAGTGTGGACAGGTACCTTCACAATTATTTGAAGTATTTCTTGTAAGTTTGACTGTACACAAGCATGACCAAATGTGTCAGTGGAACAAGAACTGGGAGGATGTGACCCATGCACAGCCTTCAGCCACAAGTCGTTATTTGGTCTTTGTTTTCCAGATCAGAACAAAGTTGTAAGAAAAGCAGCTGAAGCAGCAGCAGCACTTGGTTGCTGTCATTCAGCATTTTTTGGAAGTTTAGAGTACATCACTAACAGTCTCCATAATTAGAGTTAAAAACATGAGTGTTATTTCCCACATTTATAAAAGTCTCACCAGAGACTATTAGCCTTTTGTAAATTCCCATGTATTGCTTCTAAAAGAATTGTGACAAAAAGCAGAGCTGTGCATATTTATACACATAACCATAATAGAAGCATCCTGCTTTAAGCTTGCTGTAGCAAATAAAGGCCCTGTGGAAGTAGAGGTCATTTAGAACAAAGTTGTGTGCATGTCATTCATACTAAGCTCACTTCATTTAAAAACTTGCCCTACGTAAGAAAGACTGATCCTTAATCTTACTTTTTTCATCTGTTTGCTTTTAAAAAGCATTATTACAGCCTTGTGGCACTGATGACAGGTGGTTAAGCCAGTGCTGGGCAGCAACTGGGTTGTGGGCAGCCTAAGTCTCCCAACCTTTGTTGAGAAGGGTTGAGGTATGAAAAAGCAAGGCAGCTGGTGATCATTAGGTTAAAAATCTTAAGGTAAAAACAGCACTCAAGAAGTCAGTTGTTTTACAGGTATCATTTCTCTCTGATTTGTTTCATACAGCTTCTGTTCATAACAATAATGACCAGGTAAACATCTCCTCAAGCTATTTGTTCTTCAGCTTAACAGGAGAGGGAAGAAAAACAAATGATGGTTTAGCAGTGGTAGCTGCAAGTGTCCTGCAATTAGAACCCTAGTAGGCCAAAAGTGCCAAGACAAAATTTAGAGTAGTCATTTAGAGCATCCTTCACCCTTCCAGTCACCCATGTGCACTGCATGCACCTGAGCTGCCATGGGTTGGCCCTGCCTTCCCACCAGGTGCTCGATCACTGCTTCACACTGTGACTTGGCATTTCCACTACAGCGTGACCTGCTTACTACACCACTGGCTACACTGGTATTAAAGCAACTAAAACCTGTAACATCTGCAGGGGGCAGAGCCTACATCACCTTGTGAAAGGAGCACTCAAGCCATAAAGATGCCAGCAGGGTATCAGGAATGGTGCCTGGCACATATAGTGAGAGCTGGCCTTTTCCAAAACTACATGGCCATACAGGCATAGGCTACTGCAAAACTGCAGTGGAGAGCCATTATTTGGCAAAAATTATTCAAGTATATTTCAGTAGCAGCTTAGTTTTTGCTTAAATGGTGTTCCATCCAACTGACACAGCTTTGACCTTCATGCAGAAGGGCTTAATTGTTACTAGTTTTGTCCTTGTCTTGTACAGAGGCTTTTCTGTCTACAAAAATGTAAGCAACACATAGAATAATTGAACAACCACTGATGAAGCAGGTAGAATTTTTAGGACTCTCAAGTGCAAATACATGCATAGAATTGGAAGAATATCTTATGTATTGCTCAGAGGTGGGTGAAATTTCTGGAAGCGTGAGGGCACCTGTATATTTTCAAGAAGAACTATCTTGTTTTTGCAGACTGTCTCACTTCTAGTCTCACAATTTGACAATGCAGTGATGCTTTTAGCTAAGGTAGCAGATAAAGTTTTAGACGTGAAAGAGGTGAATAACACAGAGCAATACCCCTTGAGTACAGTACTGTCTTTACAGATCAAATTCTAGTGATCATACTCCGTACTTTTATGCTGGTAGTGGATAGGCAGAATGTTGCCATTTTTAGATGGGGAGGGCAAGTCGTTCAGGTACAGGACTTAATTTCTGATTGTGCCAACTATTTTGTGACAGTGATAGAAGCTTCCAGTGCAAGAGCCAGGAACATTCAGAATGGCAACTTGCAGCTCACTGAGGCAGGTCTGTATGTTACAATTCAGGCAGGAAGGCAAGTTCCTTTAGAAAGTTGTGGCCGAGTATTACTGACGTAGAGGTGTTCTTTCTCTCCCTCCCCCCAGCCTCTCTCATCTAACATCACAAGGAGGTTAATATTGATAAACAGTTTTGACCAGAGCTAGAATATTCTGTGTGGATATTGGCAGGGTACTTATTTGCTCTCAAGAGCCAATGAAAATCTGTGAAACTCATTGGAATTACCTTGATGGAGAAATACTCAAAACATGACAATAACACAAGAGCAGCTGGCCATAATCAAGTACCCATTTCTGTAGATTTAACTGTAGGAATTAACACTTCAGGTTGTACAGTGCTGCCACAGGCTACAGCTGCTACTGACTTCAACTTTCCTGCAGAGGGAAGTATGCACTAAGAGTATAAAAAACAAATAGCAAGTCAAATGATGCTTGCAGAGCTGGAGATGTCACAGTGTCTGAGTGAAGAACAGAGGACTAGAGTGTCAGGAATTGTATTCACTGAATTGATTTGTAAGGAGAAGCCAAAATGGTCAGCTTTCTGAACAAATGGAAATTGGGTATTTGTCAAGCCAACAGCAAATGAAAAAGAAACATCTTAAGAAACAAAAAGAAACATCTCACCCCTGTATGATCTTTATGAGTCTGCCTCTGGGCTGTGATACTGACAGTGTTACTCTAATGAAGACAAAATTAGTATCCCAAAAAGAAGAGCTCCAGAGGTTCCAGAAAGACAGGATGCAAGAGGAAGGATACAACTCCTGGATCCTGGGCAGTCCTGAGGTGTCACAACTCTTTCAGAAATGAAGTGGATCTGACTAAGAAGGAGTTAAATGGCAAAGAAGGGATCAGGTATGTGCAAAAAGGTCATCTCAAGATGTTACAGGATAACACAGATTATGAGGACCACACAGTGGTGTCAGAGTGCCCCATTTCAGTTGGTTTAGGTGAAGCTTACGTTCTTTCTAGAATCCAAGATGTTTAGTTGTTAGTATCTCTATACAGAGGAGGGAGGTGTGTTGGAAAATGTACAACAGCTCATCTGTGGCAAAAGCTTTCTCATGGGTGTGGAGAGCACCAGTGCCTTAAGTCTTACAGTACAGACTATGATCAGAGGAACACTGATAAAAAAAAGTTTGTTTTTTGACTAGAGAAAGGAAAAGAAAAAGCCACCTCTTGTCTAAAGCAACAATCATGAGAGAAAACTACCCACACTCTTCTTTAACATTTATGAAAACTTTAACTATGTTTTTTCTCTTCAAAAAAGCATACTGTTTTCAACTACCTTGAAATTGTGTTGGTTTTGTTTATTCATCCCATCCAAGGATTTAGGCTGTCAAAGTGCAGAAGTAAAACCAGAGAAAACTTCATTACCCAGTTCATCCAGCAACACACATACACATCAGTGAAGTTAGTTGGAGCAAGTCCAGTAACATGCCTAATCTTCCAGAAAGGTATCAAAGTCTGCACAGTGCCAAATACTGCAACAGAATTTGGATCAGGGCTGCCTAGCTTTGAACAGAGGCAGTACTTCATTGCAAAAACTCCTGGTTTCTCTCACAGGGAGGG